CTGCCTCCTCCGACACGTTGCCATTGAGTGGTTCCGCCCTGCTTTTTTCAAACAGCTAAAACATGCATGTTGATCCTTAACAAACTGGAGCCTTTCTCGTGCGGTCTTTGATGTGAACTTTTTGCATTGGTCCACCCAATGGTCTCCTGTCTTGCATATCCAGCAACGGTGTTGCAGAGTTTCTTCTGATTGCTGTCTCTGAGGTGTCTGTGACATATGTGCCCTACTGCATGACGACTGTCACTTCTTAGGGGAGCATTTGCTCTCATTCTGGCCTTCATCTCTCCGCTCATCCACTTTAGCAGCATCTCCAGGGAAACAGCTGATTGCTGTTCATCTTTGTCTATCTCTTGATAGCGGAACCATACTCTTCTGTCATCTGGGTTCATCTTCCGTTCAATCATGGCCAACATGTTACTGTTGTTCATATCATTCTCTCGGCCTATTTCCTTTAACGTGTTGTAAATTCTTCTCACCATATGTACCAGATCACAAAAACGACCATCTTCGTTCTCTTTCAGAGGCTTGAATTTGTGGAGATCGTTCATTATTGCATCAGCCACAAACCTTGGATCTCCATATATGCAATCAAGATGCTCCCATGCTGCTTCATAATCAGCCCCAATACCTCTAATCAGATCAAGTGGACGTCCTTGTAGACAAGTACGTAGAATCGAAATGGCATCCCTGTTCCCGTACCTGCTCTCGACCAGATGTTTGAAATCTGATTTAAATATGCCATACTCTCTCACATCCCCATTGAACTTAGGTAGCTTGGGTCCCTCCAGCTGGAAACTACTGACCTGTCTAACATGTTACGTAGGAGGGCTTGCCTGATTGACTTCACTGGATGTATGAATGTCATCAGGTAGGGGGTTTGGATCTGCTTGGTTGTTTCTGTCCTGAACTTCAACCACTGGAGTTGGGGACTCCTTACGGAAATAGTCCTTAACATCCATCTGGAACATTAAGAAATCTTTCTGACATTTCTCCATCCACTGTTCTTCTTGCTCAAATGTTGCATCGTCTTCTATAGTTGCTGCATAGACTTCATGGATGCCTGTAAGCTCGTGGTACGCCTGTTGGTACTCTACAAACATGTCGCTCACCTCTGATGAAGGACGATTCTCATCTATCTGGAGGCGGACTGCATTTTCCTTTCTTGTGAGCTTGGCCTTGGCGGTCCTCCTCTTTACTTTCTCAGACATCTTCTCCCGTTCCCTGGTCAGCTTTAGAGATATTGAATTGATGGATCACGGAAAGAAGGAATGCTCAGTCGAGTTTGTCCTGTTGAATCGGATAGTCCTCGATAAATCGAGTGTTTATTCAATCTGTATGAAAAATAAAAGATGAAGAAATCCTTAGCATCATTGCCTTGCGATTGCTAATCACCAATACATCGTTCTGTTTAATAAACCATTAAATATTGACTTTGTGAAACAGGTATATCCTTAGTTTGCCACTTTGCATCAAAATCCTCTTTTTGTATTTACCAATTGTAAACATACCTATAGCTCTCATGTAAATGTACTTCTTATAATTCACTTTAAATGTTAAATGAATATTTGCAATAAAGATTGAATATCCATTCTAATCTCAACTTGAGTAATGCCTGTTTATTAATTTGTTCCAAAAAACCTGTCCTTATATATTTCGACTACAATCAAAGAAATACAATCATGACCTCTTCAGTCCAAATATTCTCACACTGTAACATCTATCGATGTAAAATTGATACAAAACCAACATCTGTTTCATTTACCCACTTTCTAAATTGAAGTGTTTCTTACAACAAAAACCAGAATAAAAACTTCTCAAATCTTACTGTTAATGCCACCAAATAAATCTATTATTTGATGCATTATTTATACAAGCACATCAACACACATATTTAGACAAATATGGTATTAACCTAACTGACCGAAAATACTCTCGCCATACCTGGCCATACAAGTTGCGTACATTCCACGCTCGTTAGTTACATTTCATTTAACTCTACATTTCTACATTATATATTTGCTTAATTGCCTCTGAACCAATTGATAATTAATACGTACATCTTTGGCAGGATCTACTCGAAACCGTGGAACACAAATTACCCCTCGCGGAGACATTTGTGACAAAACTGTTACATCAAAAATGGTGGACAAACACGTCCGTTCTCTGACTTGATGATGTGGCTCTGAACTTAGCCGTGACTTACTTTTGCCACGTACCGGTCCCAGATATTCTAAGGTGTCCTTAAAGAAACACATGTGATCTTCTCAAAGGAAAATAAGAAAACTTCTTAATACATGAAAAATCGTCTAAATTCTTACTAGACAAATCACAAATGAAAAAGTGACATTTTCACTGAAACACTTATTAAAAGGTCTAGCTGTCTTAATAGATGCCGACTCACAATACACTGAGCTTTCAACCGCTGCGGAATGGCAGATACGACTGAACGCCAAGGAAAATAATTGTTAAAACCAATTAATTTCCGATGTCCATCAAACAA